GGGGTGCTGAGTCTGAGGGTGCCGGGTCTGGGGGTGCTGAGCCTGGGGGTGGTGAGCTTGGGGGTGTGGAGCCTAGGGGTGCTGAGTCTGAGGGTGCGGAGTCTGGGGGTGCTGAGCCTCGGGGTACTGATTCTTCTTGAGGTCCAGCGGGTACTTCGCCACGACTGTCTCCCCGGCCGGAGCCTCTCTCCCCGCAGCAGCTGTGCAAGTGGTTTGCTCAGCGCGCCCGCCTTCGGAGTGGAGCTGCCGGAGCTGGAGTCTCTGCCGCTGGTGACACTGGAGCTGGAGGTGTTGGAGTTATTGCTAGAGCTGGTGGTACCACAGGTGCTGCAGCTGCAGGTCCTGGAGGTGCTCGTACCAGGGGTACTGGAGCTGCCGAGACTGGTAGTGTTGGGGGCGCTGGAGCTGGAGGAGCTGGAGCTGGAGACCCTGCGAAGCCTGGAGGCGTTGGAGCTGGAGGCACTGGCGCTGGTGGTGCTGGAGCTGGAGGAGCTAGAGCTGGTGACACTGGTGCTGTGTCTGGCGGTACTGGTGCTGGAGGCATTGTGCGGCCGCAACCGTTCTTCGTTCCCCTACTTCAGCAGTTTCTTGGTCTCCCATCTTCTACTGGCCTTACTCCTTCCTTACTGTGTCCACCGCTTGACCTGTCACAGCCGCTGTTACAGCCAGCCTCCCCACTGCCTGCTCCTTCTCGTTTCATTGAGCAGACTGGAGGTCTTACACAGCGTCGTGAGCCTGAGTCTCGTCCTGCCTCGCCTGTTCGAGCTGTTTGCACTGGTCGTAGGGTTCCTCGTCCGCGTCCTCCTCCTGTCCCGGGCACCCATGCTATGGCACTTCGTCCTTCCTCTGCTCCACTGCGTGTTCCTTTGCCGCCTCCTCCTGAGTCCTCCCTTCCTGCTGTCCCTGACCCTGAGTCTGACCTTGCTCGTGCTGCCAGTCCCACTGTCTCTCGTCTCCTCGCCACTGTTGTCACTGACCCTTCTTTTGAGTCCACTGCTGCGTCTGCCCTCGTTGCTGAGCTGCTTGACTCTGCTGCTGCCTGTCGTCTAGAATACGCCACTGCTCTTATTACTGAGTCTGAGTCTGCCAGTCCTCCGTCCGTCGGGGGTGAGTGTGCTCTTGGCATGGACGTCCTTGAGGACAGGCAGGAGTACTTTGAGTGTCTTGCAGCTGCTGTACCTCGTTTCGCTTCCATGCTGCTTGCCCCTGAGGGAGACCCGGATGCACCAGACATCCCGACCCTGCGCTATTACGCAGAGGCAATTACGGGTCCTTACTCCTCTCAGTGACAGGCAGCCATGGATGCCAAGATGGCATCATGGAAGTCCACAAGCACCTACATCGACGCAGTTCCCCCGTCTAGGGCGAACATAGTCAATGGCATGTGGATTTTCAGGGCGAAGCGACCGCCAGGTTCTCCGCCTGCCTTCAAGACGCGTTACGCTGCTCGAGGCTTCAGTCAGCGACAGGGGGTCGACTACTTCCAGACCTTCTCCCCCACCCCGAAGATGACCACTCTTCGGGTGTTGCTGCAAGTCGCTGCTCAGCGTGACTACGAGTTGCACTCTCTAAACTTCAGTACAGCTTTCTTGCAGGGTAGCCTGCACGAGGAGATCTGGCTGAGCTGGCTTCACTGGGTCGTTTCCTGCAGGTACCCAGTGGAGCCTCCGGCGGCCAGTCTACCATCTCCGCCAGGTGCCTCGTGAGTGGCATGACACACTGAGGACTACACTTGCAGCTCTGGGATTTAGTCCTTCGAGTGCTGACCCGGCACTGTTTCTACGCACCGACGCGTCGCTGTTGCCGTTCTACGTCCTCGTGTGCGTCGACGACCTGGTCTTTGCCACTGCTGACACTGAGGCACTGACCCTTGTGAAGTCCGAGCTGCAGAAGAGATACACCTGGACTGACGTGGGTGAACTGCGCAGCTATCTTGGCTTGTAGATCACCCGGGACAGAGCACGGCGCACCATCACCCTGACTCAGTCACACATGGTGCACCAGGTCCTTCAGCGCTTCGGCTTCCAGTTCTCCTCGCCACAGCCCACTCCTCTGTCTACCAACCACTCGCTTTCAGCTCCACCTTCGGACGAGTCCGTAGAGCCGAGTGGTCCGTACCCAGAGCTTGTGGGTTGCCTCATGTACCTGATGACGTGCACACGACCTGACTTCGCATACCCTCTCAGCCTTCTGGCTTGCTACATGGCTCCCGGTAGGCACCAAAAGGTGCACTGGGATGCTGCGAAGAAGGTACTGCGTTACATGTGCAGTACGTCGGGCATGGGGCTCGTGCTTGGAGGGCGGGGTCCAGTTGTCCTCACTGGTCACGCAGACGCTTCTTGGGTTGACAACTTGTCTACGCAGCGGTCGTCACAGGGTTACACCTTCAACCTCGGTTCCGGCTCTGTTTCCTAGCGGTCTACCCGCTCGTCTTCGGTTCTTAGCTCCAGTTGTAAGGCTGAGATCTACGTCGGGGCCATGGCTGCACAGGAGCTACGCTGGCTCACCTACCTGCTGACTGACTTGGGAGAGTAGCCTCGTTCGCCTCCAGTTCTGTACGTAGACAACAAGGCCATGATTGCCTTGTGTCAGGAGCACAGACTAGAGCACAGAACGAAGCACATCGCTCTGCGATACTTCCTTGCTCGAGAGTTGCAGCAGCGTGGTCAGCTTCGTCTTGCGTACGTGGCCACTAGGGCCAACACTGCTGATATATTCACCAAGGCACTTCCGCCTGGTGATAGTCAGCGCTTCTCTACTGTGTTAGGCCTTGTGCCTACTTTGCCTCACTTGCTGACTGCGTGACTTTGCCTGTACTGTGCTCTGTATGTATACCTGCATGCTTACACTTGCTAGGGTATGATCACTATATTGTTTGTTCTTTTTTATATAACTCTGCATGTCAACTTGCTTGTGCTCAGACTGTGTGGTGACTTTGTGATCCACCCTGAGCTTGCTTTGCTTTTCTTGACTGGTCTTGTGACCACTTGTTCTCCCCCACTTTGCCTATGGGGGTGTGTCAGAATGTTATATTGCTTACTTTGTGTAGGCTATAGTGGGGTAGCCCATAAGGGGTACAACCCAATTAGGGTTAGTACTTGTACCCAACTCTTTCATAGTTCAATCATTCTCGTTCATTCCTTTAACAGTTAATTCAATTGTTGTGCAATTCTCACAACCCCCTGTGGACTCAGTTTCAAGATTTAGTCTTAGGCATTCGTTGTGGATAGTCAGCTGCTGGTTTTATGTTACACGACATAGTTGAATGATATACAATACAATGGATAGTCTTAACAAGATTGAGAAACAAATATATGGTTTTGGTAGGTCTTCTGACCACACCTACAACCCTAGTGATTCTATATCGTCGGTGATGTTTTGGGTCAATCACATTCCTGCACATTCGTTGTGCACAAGGTTAGATAGTAACATTGTTCACTAATTTACACACCTTCTGTTGACGTTTCAAACTTAAAATTGAGGAAATTGGTTCATGCTGCGTAAATTATTGTTATGAACAATGATTGATGTCTAAAATTGTTGTAACCACTTTTTGTTACGAAGCACACTCACGCATCAAAACCATTTCGTGTTTCTTGGATTGTTTTCGCGAGCGACGAATGTTGTGGGCTGTGTCTCGCGAGTATGTTTATAAAGGTGACCAAGCACTCGTGGCAGTTTACGAACTTCCAGAATCTGGTGACTTCTCATGATCGCACAATCATGGCCCATGCTCGCGCATGCGGTACACGAATTATCACGAGCATTCCTGTCGGGATTCATGACGACATACTAGTTTCTTGTGGTTGTACCGAGCTACTCGTATTGGGACTACGAATGTTCATGAGCTCGTGTGTGTAAGCGTGAAACCTTAAGCGTAACTCATGACTAATACGAGAGGACACGCTAGCAACAATTTGTGATATTTTCATACCAGTGAGCCCTAAATTCCACGCAAGCACGGACAATAATAATAATGGTTGCAGTGTTTATCAGGTGCTCTAAAAGACAATACTATATAAGTTTACCAACCCTGCCCCGACCCATCCCCCACCTCGTCTTCCTGCACTTCTTCCTGCCCCCCTGTCTGCGGTCCCCCCTAACGGTATCCAGCATACTTCCACTTACACTTCAGCCGGTTATGCCCAAGCTCACGGCATCTCCCGCAACGATACGCATGGGGTGCAATCTCCACACGACTGTGGTCCTCCGGGTGGCCAACTCGGGTCAAGATCAGAGATGGCACATCACAAACCCCTTCCGGAGCCTTGGGCGCCTCTCTCATGAATCTGTCAATGCAAGTCCTCCACACCACCGGTGTGTATGTCATGCGGAGCGTGTGAGTGGTGTAGTAATCTGAAACAAGGATCTCGGGGCACCTCTTCTTGATAAGGCACATGGCAACAGCGTGCGCACACGGGAACTGGTACTCTTGCCAATTACCACAATCACAAGCCCGGGCGACAAGGTTGACATTGTTGCTCCGCCACTCTGTCTCGTGCTCGCCTCCACGTGTCTGGATTGTCCCAAAATCCCGAGTCCCTCCAAGAAACCAGTACCCCTGGCATCTGCTGATCTTAATTTGCATCCGCGTTGCTGCTGCAGGCGTGAGATGCTCGTCACGAGCCATCGCAACTTCGTGTCGCTCAACCCACTTCTCTTGGAACCAGTCCCACAACGATGCGAGCAAGTAGGTTGGAGTCAACATCCTTATGCGCCGCACATCACCATTGAGCGTCTCTGCTGCGTTGCTCGTGTAGATCCCAAAGCGTCGTGTCACGGCAAAAAGCCGTGCCCAATGCAGGAGCTGGATTCCGCCAATGCGGTACAAGGAACCCTTCCTGTTGCGGTGGAAACATGTCTGCACATAAATACCCCCTTCATCCTCGCCATCGCCCCCCCCTGCCCTCACCGTCCACGTCCTCGAATCCAGGTTCATCCGCATCGGCATGAAGCGGATCTCCATGTAACCCAGTGTCCGGCCATGGAAGCGCTATTATCTATGCCAATCCCGAATGCAGCTGGTCCTCCTCATCCAAAGCTATCGATCGCCAGTCGGTGCCTCGCCGTGCACCCGCTGTACCCTGGTTGACCCCGGTGTTGATGGTTGCGGGCGTGTACCCTTCGCGTGCTCTCTGGAGTAGTGCGTCCACGTCGAAAGGCACCCTCCCTCGTTCCGCCGACCCAAACCCTTCCTCCACTGACCGACCAGGTGGGCCAATGTTCACATCATCATCCGTGGAGAAACTTGAGCCACCCACCCCAGCTCGACCAGCACTCCCATCTGGCCCGTGCAGTCCCCCATCAACACCTCCTACGCCGTTGCTGTCGCCGCGACCATAACCTGCCCTGTTTGCAAAACCCATGGTAAATCCTTCACCCCTTTTTAAGACAAGGGGGCTCATGCCAATGCCCGCATAACGTGTCTCCCTACCCAGTCCAAGTCCCACTCCCCCAAGCCCGAGATCCTCCACGGTTCCACGGTCCACTGACCCGCCTCCATCTCCCCTCCCGGCTCCAAGGTGCACGCCTCCAAGGCCACCTCCCCCCCCGGTTCCAACACCCACGCCCCCAAGTCCACCTTCCCTCCAGGCTCCAAGATGCACAGCCCCAAGTCCAGCCCCCCTCCCGGCGCCCAGCCCGACACCCCCAAGGGTTGCTCCCATCCCGGTTCCAAGGTGCACGCCCCTAATGCCACCTCCCCCCCCTCCGATTCCAACCCCCACGCCCCCAAGTCCAGCTCCCCTCCCGGCTCTAAGATGTATTGGCCCGTTGCCAGCTCCCCCAAGGCCAGCTCCCCCCCCCCCCCTCCAAGCCCCCCGCCCACGAGGCTAGCACCAGCACCAGATCCTAGTCCCGCAGCCCCCAGTTCTGCTCCCATACTCGTACCCAGGCCAGCCCCACCTAGACCAGCCCTCTCGCTTCCGCCCACACCTCCGCGAGAACCAGGCGTGCTCTCCTGAGTCCCAAGTCCCCCGCACGAGGTACCCAAACCACTGTTGGACACTCCGGAACCTGCATTTGGGGCTCTGCCACTAGCGTCCCCCTGAGTGCCGCTCCCCAAACCATTCCCAGTGGTTCCTCTTGCTGTACTTGGTCCACCCACGCCCCTACCATCCACACCACTTCAGCGCCACCCGAGCCAAACCTGCCGAACCCTCTTCCACTCTCCACACCAACCCTGAACCCACCGTACTGGAAGGCGCCTCGTCTGGGTTCATTGCGCGCCGTTCCCTTTCCTCCGTTTCCTCGAACACCACCATCCCTGTTTGCACCACTCTCCTGTGTTCCCAGAAAGGCAGCCGTGTCTCCCGCTCCTCTGAACCTCCTCCCGTAGATCTCGACATTGGGTGCGTTCATCCCACTTCTCCCCGAGAGACCACCACCTTGCCGATTGTAGCTCGCATATCCTGCACCCGGGATGCCTGAGCCATTCGCAGTGGGAACCTCGTCGACGGCTGCCGCCGATCCTCTAGGTGCATTTCTCGCTGCACTGCGGCCATCGCGACCAACCTCGAAAACGTATGCTCGCGCACCCTCATACGTTTGTCGCGCCTATGGAGGTGGTCGGGTCTCTGGTTCCGGTGGGAAACCCAGCACCAGTGGATCCTACCTCCCAAACAAGTACAGAGCCATGTCTGGAAAGTCAGTCTGGCAAGCTGCAACTAGTGCCAGCCACTTCACTTTATTCCTGCATTTGACCAACCGCCAGAAGAACTTCATAGCAGCCTTGCTGTGCTGCTTCAGGTTCTGTTCGAGGTGCTAGGCGCAGAAATAGTGCAGGATGTGATTAGGCATGACCTCGCGGGCTGCCGGGACAAGCCCTTTGTCCCGATCGCTGATCATCGCCGCGTGTTTTTGCTGGACCCATTCCGAAAACCCTTCAAGGAACAGCCTCAGGAACCAGCTCCATGACTCTTTGTTCTCGGATTCGACCAACCCCCAAGCCAGCAAGAGGACTTTCTGGTTGCCATCGAGGGTAACAGCGACAAGCAGCATCGCCTTCTGCGCGCTAATCAGGTGCGTACCGTCGAACGCGACAACAGGACGGCAAAATTTGAGGGCATGTCGTGCTGCGGAGGGACGGACGAAGAACCTGTGGAACAACCCGCCGAGTGTATCCAGCTGCACTTTCACCTCGGGGTCAATGACCTTGAGCCGATCCACCAACCAAGGAATCTGTCGATACAATTCCTCCCAATCCCCGTACATCTCTTTCATTATGTACTCGCGCAAACGCCATGCCTGCCAATAGTGGATTTCCTGGCCACCAATACCCTCCATCTAACGCATAATGTGAATCGGGGCCACGAACGGATCAGCGCGGACCATATTGTCGTAGGCGCGAATGAGCACGGGTAACTTGTTTGCTATGTCCACTGCGTATTTGTGCCGGTCTTCAGGCTTGCAGATGTGCTCCTCCACTAGTACAAGCCCCGTGATGCACCAGAAATCGCCATGCTTGCATTGCGCATACGAACAGCTCCAAAGACACGTGGGAAATCGCCCCTCCGCCATGGACTTGTACCCCACTACCACGTATTTCTCCTTCGTGATCACAACCTTATAGCCAAACTTGTGTAGAAGAGCGTAAACCTGGACAGCCTCGAAGCATTTGTCACGTGACGAGTACATACCACCCACCTCCAACGGCGCTTTGTCATTAGGGCTTTCTAATTCCCAATCAATCTCTGGAGCCGAGTTCATCTTACGTAGCACAATAAGCTGCGGATTACCCGCCATAATTGCGGAATACCGCTACATTCGCGGCGGGCCCAACCATAAACCAGCGAGACCTAAAAAAACGAGTACAAGGTAAGACCTAGTGAGAAGTGTCTAGATGTTTCGTGACTAGCAATGAAGAACTTCAAATCTCACGAAAGAAAACGACTAGATCTCAATGGGTTAAGGATGCGTTACACCATACACGATCCTGATCACGTTCTGTCGTAGCATCAGTTTTGTTACATTGTGAATAATGGGTTTTGAATATTTGACAGCTTTTACCGGGATTGCCGTACGGTGGAAGATCGTCATATCACGCTGAAGCGCAGGATCGCCGATCCCGTAACGCATCCTAAAGGGACCCACGTGCTGCCAAAACTGAACATGACAAAACCGAAACCAAAGAAAATAGGCATAAGCCAAACATGCTCGGCGCGACGCTGGCGCGACTTGGAGCAACAAGGTGCAACAAGTTGCAAATTTGTTTTTTTTTTTTTTTGTGAAGGAATTGAAAAACCTGGATGCAATCTCGCGATACTGTGCAGAAAAGGAAAAGGCACCTGTAACACAGACGGAACCTGGTCCGCAGGTTGAAAATAACGTGGAAGCGCATGTAGGTCGATCGATTTGGACGAGGTTCGGTCGCCCTACGTACTGTGCGAGCTTGGTCGACCGAATTGTGAGAGGCGCGCGATCGGCCGTGTCACGCAATTTTGCCACAAAGGGAAGGAATTGTGGGCATGGATTAGACAAGCGTGGGTTGGATGGGAGTAGACAAGCGTCCAGAGAGTCCCCCAATCCCAAGCTAGACGCACCACGCGAGTGAGGAGGGCAGGGATTGGGTTCACGCCAGAAGCTGGCACAACACTTGTCTCGAATTGGGTGGTGACGGTCCGGACTTTTGCTACTTGCCCAGGATGTTCCATGCCCTAAATCACTTATAACTTAGTACGGTAGCATTGAGGCAAAATTACACGCACAATATTACATATATGAAAGAGATTACCAAGAGTGTTTTATTTCATTGAATCAGTTACAGTGCTCACCAAGAACAGACTAGGCACCAGTCAAAGACAGTCAAGGTCAAAGCCAGGGGCACCACCCTGGAAAATGTTGCGCAGGACAATGCTTGTGTAGTGCTAATGAAAATTGCACGGGGAAGGATTGAAAACGGTTGTTCAACTGCGAGACAACCAGACGAACTGAGTGGATGCATCCTGCCGTGACAAGTTGCAGCATGAAATTCGTCATGCTGCCACCCATGCCTTTCCGTTTCGGCTTCGCTGCCACCTAGAATTATGTGGCTTTTATCGTCCACTCTCAACACCTACATTGAGCGAGCGCGAATGACTCCAGAACTTGATTGAAAGTACTACAAATGTTATCGTTTATAGTCCTACGGAATGAGACGCCGCGCGCAGACTATGTGCGAAAACCTTCAAACCCTGGGCAAAACGCGATACTTATAGTCCCGTTCAAGAAGATTGCATGAAGAGTGGTTTATTTTATAGTTTATGGATTTCGTCTTTTACGTAGATTCGAACCACGCTTGCTTTAAAGCCAGGATCTCAAGTAAGAGAATTGGCCTTCAATTGCAAAACACTTGCAGCGCTTGTTACCCTATTTTTGTAGGCGAATTGACTGGCTGGTTAGGAAAGTGAGCGTGCGGCACACCCACGATTTTGCCCCTAGAGCAAATGCAAAACATTTTGCTGGTACATGAGATTGTTGTGTGTGACGAGAAATTGCAGGCATTGGAGCTTCGTCACCGAACCAGTTTCCGAGCCTTGCTTGGTTCGGACTGAACTTGCGATTTGTCTTTACTTCGCACCCCTCGCTTCACACCTCGTCAGATTGTTCACCTCGCTAACCAATCGCAGCCCAGCTCCCCTCACCAACTGCAAAACAATTGAACTACTTGAGATCCTGGCTTTAAAACCGGGGTGCACATTCAGCTGAATGTGCATCAAAGGTTATCCCTTGACTGAGTGGGTTACGAGGTGTGCTTTCAACCCCTTCAAGTCGAAATTCGTTTCCCCCCTCCCCCGCAATTTCGTTTCCCCACGCCCCCGCAATTTCATTTCCCCCTCCCCGTCGAAATTCGTTTCCCCCCTCCCCCGCAATTTTGTTTACCCCCTCCCCCGCAATTTCGTTTCCCCCCCCTCCCGCCAATCTGTTTCATCCCTCCCGCCATTCGGTTTCACCCACTCCCGCCATTTCACCCCCTCCCGCCACCTACGAAGTGCCCGAAGCTCTAGCGGAATCATTTTTTTGTCGCCCCTCGTGAGCCAATCACTGTTTTTCTCCAAACCCCCTTCCCAACATCTCAAACCGGACCGCGTTGAATGTGCACCCTGGTTTTAACTTCTCGTTGCACGGTTCCCCGCGCTGATCAATGTCCGCATGACTAACAGGCAAAACAAAACAAAATCAATTATGGTTTGGGGGTCGAATAGAAGGTAAACACTTCAATTTTACCCTGTAAGCGAGATTAATGAGGTGTCATCGTCGAGCGCGCTGGAGACCGCGCGACAGTATTGAAAAGTAATCACGGTCAAGAGAAACAATTACTTACAAACAAAAATATCGAATCGATGATCCCTTATGTATAGTTTTCCCTGAATGTTGGGCTGGTTCGATCTGGAGCCTCTGATTGGCTGCGGAGCTGATTCGTGCAATGGCTGCAGATTTTCCCGCCAAAAAAGGGACTATAGGGGTCGGGCCAATCCTAGGCGATATCGGAAAACTCTACTCAAGGGGGAAAAGGGACTCTTTTAGCGAGAGCCTCTAGCCCGGAACACTTGTACATAAACAATCTGCTTGAGAGCCAAAATCAGGTGTTTTGAAAGCACAAGCCCAAACATATGCTAACTCGCGGATTTCAGACCCAACAAATCCATTTGTCTGGTTTAGGGAGTCCGAAGTGGGGGACCTTCGCAATCGAAAGGGTGACTTCGAAGAGGACCTCAAAAGAGGTGTCCTTTGCCTACGTAGACTGCACCAGAGCGGATCACGAGTGTTCACATGGACTCAGATTCTAGAAGGATAAACAGAATCGTATCTGATGAAGGATGCCTCGGTTCATATCCGCACCATATGGTTTGTGGTGGGGACGACCACTCCACTTGACACTCTGATTTTCTAGCTTGCAGCATTTCAAGCCATTTCAGCTCATGTATTTCACAACCAACCGGCTACTGCCGGAATGTCAGGAATGAAAGGAGGGTAAGCAGGACTCAACTCAACACTTCACGGGTTAGAGCCAGCATGAAGTCACGCTCCATGCTACAGCCATATCCATGGTCAGAATCATTTGAATCATGTACACACAAAAGAAAATAGGTGTTGCCACTCCGAGAAGCAAGAGCACCTCCGAGCCACATGAACACTCGGATCAAAACACTACTAATGGCGTAAAACATCCTGGTAAGTCGAAAAAGACCGTACCCGTCACCGCTCTGCAACGTAATGTACCTTCTAGAATGTACTGATACGCAAGAAAAACGTTAGCAACCGCATTAGTGGTTGGGACTTTTATTTTTTGTAAGAAATCCAGGATGTTCCACAAAAAACAAATTCAGCCGTTTCACCGGGTCCATTATGTTGCCGTGTGTAGGAGGGGGTGACAACCAACAAGGTGGCAAACGGCAAACATTAATTTTCAGGGAATTTTGGGTTGCTCGTTGTAGTACCCTAAAGAGACCCCCCGTGTAAATACTGTACCGCCGGAAAAAATGATCCAAGGGGCTGGTCCCAAGGGACGATGATGACGGGATCGTGGGAAAATCCTGGAGGGGATGGTCAAGCTTGTCATACATGGAGTGGAGATGGGGGGAAGGGGGGGTAGGGGGCGGGTGTAGCGCGTGAGGGAGGGGTGGCTGTTTCAATTAGTGTATGTGCACATGTCCTGTACTTGTGTTGTGTTGTGTTGTGTTGTGTGCTGTGCTGTGGGCAGACCACATCAGCTTTAGTACAAAGCAGTGATAGTGCGACAGAGTCGGAGAAGATTTTCTTAGAACTAACATTAGAAGTACGCCTGGTACGGCTACAAGTAGTTGCAATTAATGCAGGTGCAAGTGAAGTACATCATGGAAGTGTGGCAGAAAGCTGACGGTTTTAGTACTAGAGCCGACTCTTGAGCCGCCTCAGAATGTGAGCGGAAATATTTACTAAGACTCAAAGCCAGATGGAATGCAACGCCCAGCAGCGGTTAATAGGCAGCCCAGGCTCGTCGTCCGGACACGGCTATAACCGCACCACAACGAGTAGTACCAATAGTGGCGATCAACGTGAAAACAGTCCGCTGCTGTCTGGTTTACTATCTAGCATGTCGACTGATGGGGATCGAAACTTCAAGTTCCCCGCAGGCAGTCCCAACCTCGGTGACAGCACTGATAATCCTGGCACTCGTAGTAACAGCAACGATAATGATGGTGCAACTCCGAGTAGCAACAACGACGGTACACCAGCCGCGGCCGGCCCTGCAGCGTGGGAAGGAAGGGACGCGCCGGGAATGGCGGCGGTGGTAGGCAGTGATGGGCTGCGCAAGGGGCCATGGACGGCTGGGGAAGACGATCTGCTGTGGCAGCACGTCAGACAGGTGCGCCTCGCCATGCCGCGCCTCCTGTGTGTGGACAGGCTTTCAGGGCTCTTTTCAAGTTCCAAAGCAGTGTTTTGGAATCCAAAGCAGTGTCTTACAGTCCAGATCAGTGGTTTCAAAGTCGGATGATAGTGCTTTACTTTTTGAAAGCCGGTCTTTCAGGTTGGATGAATCGCCATGTCATGCCGCATTCGGTGGAAATCTCCCTCTCTTCCAGGACTTCAGAAGGGTTGTGGGCGCTTCAATTGTCTCCTCCTTTCTCCCAACCTCATCTTAGAATCCCCCCCCCACCACCTCCCTGACGCCTCGTTCCTCCCCACCTCCTATCTTATGTCCCCACCTTCCCAATCCCCCCCTCCCGTTCTCCTCCCCCTTCCACCTCCCCTGTTCTCTCTTCTGGCAGTACGGAGAAGGCAACTGGAACCTAGTGCAGCAGCACACGGGCTTGGCGCGCTGTGGCAAGAGCTGACAATTGTTTAGTCGGCTAAAAAATTCCCCCTTCTCCTCCCCCTTCCCCCTCCCCTGTTCTCTCTGCTGCCAGTACGGAGAGGGCAACTGGAACCTGGTGCAGCAGCACACGGGCTTGGCGCGCTGTGGCAAGAGCTGCCGGCTGCGGTGGGCGAACCAGCTCCGGCCGAACCTGAAGAAGGGCGGCATCACAGCGGAGGAGGAGCGCACGATCGTGCGCCTGCAGCAGCAGTACGGCAACAAGTGGGCGCGCATTGCCTCACACGTACGTGGCATGATGGACTGGGACTAGGGCGGTGATCTTACCGGAGCATGATCGTTGCAGTCGGTCAGTCAGCCAGCTTCCTTTGCGTCGACTCAGAAGTCACTGCATGCTTGTGTCTGCGGGAGAGTGAGCATGTGTGTGTGTGTGTGTGTGAGAGAGAGAGAGTGTGTGCGTGTGTGTGTGTATGTGTGTGTGTGTGTGTGTGTGTGTGCGTGTGCGTATGTGCGTATGTCTGTGTGCGTGTGCGTGTGCATCACCGTCCACCATCGCCACATGCAGTTACCAGGGCGAACAGACAACGAGATAAAGAACTTCTGGAACACAAGGCAGAAGCGCCGCAACAGAACCAGCATCTTCTCGTCCGCTCTTGGCTCCTCAGGTTCTTGCAACCTGGCCATTGCTCCCAGGATTCTACCCTCCTCGTTCCCCACGGCTCCTCACGCTCCTCGGATTTTACCCAGCTCTTCCGCTGCTCTCTGTTCTACCGCCCCTGAGCACGCAGCGCCAGTTGTGTCTGCTCCTGCAGTGTTTCTCAGCGCATCCCAGGCTTCTCTTCCTCCTCCTTCTCTTCCTTCTCCTCCCCTTCCTACTCCCCCCCTTCCTACTCCCCCCCTTCCTACTCCCCCCCTTCCTACTCCCCCCCTTCCTACTCCCCCCCTTCCTACTCCCCCCCTTCCTACTCCCCCCCTTCCTTCTCCTCCCCTTCCTTCTCCTCCCCTTCCTTCTCCTCCCCTTCCTTCTCCTCCCCTTCCTTCTCCTCCCCTTCCTTCTCCTCCCCTTCCTTCGCCTCCCATTCCTCAACCTCCCCTTCCTGTTCCTCCCTTTACTTCTCCTCCCCTTCCTCCGCCTCCTCCTCCAATAACGCCCTCACCTCCTCCCATCAGCTCGGCGGCTCCTCCTTCTGGAATGATGGGAGGGGGGCACACGACCAGTGCACATACCCTGGGAAACCAGCAGAGCCTAATGACATGCAACGCTTATGGTAACTTCCCACTTCAACAGCAGCAGCAGCAGCAGGAGCAGCAGCAGCAGGAGCAGCAGTTACCAGAACATCAGAATAACCCGAGTGCAGGCAGCGATACCAGTGGTGGCGGTGGCGGTGGCGAGGGAATCACGGCGGCTGCTGGGCGCACCTACCCTCACCCAGGGCCGCTCGTAAGGGGCGAGTGGCAGCAGCTGCTGCTGGGGAGCGGCAGCGAAGAGGACATGGGCAAGGGAGAGCAGCAGCATGAACTAGCGCAGTTGCGAGGGGCTGCGAGGGCAGGTGAGGAGGTGGGGGGGAGTGCAATGGCTGTGGATGCGAGGGACGCTCGTCTTCCGATGAGCCAGCAGCAGGGTGGTGGGGCAGCCGTGCTCCATGCTTGCTCGGGTATTTTAAGGGCTCATGCCGTGGATGCTGGTGCTGCTGGTGTTGCTGGTGGTGCTGCTGGTGGTGCTGGTGGTGGTGGGGAGGGAGGAGCAGCCGGAGGAAGAGGAGAAGGGGCTTGTAAGCCTGCTGCAGTGGCCCCGGCTGCTACGATCGTGTGGGGCGTGCACTCACCGCTTGCATCGCTGCTGCAGGTACCCGCTCCCTCCTACTCCGCACTGCAGCCGCAGCATCAGGTGCAGCAACAATGGCAGCAGCGGCAACGGCAGCAGCAGTGGCAGCAGCAGCAGCAGCATTGTCATCAAAATGCGCAGCAGGTCTGTGGTGTTACTAGCAAGGGCGCATCTGCATTGGTATTCACCAACCCCACCAGTTGGGATGCAAGGAGCAGGGCTGCAGAGGACGCACATGCACAGCAGCAGCACCATGCAGACAGGCATAAGCAGGAGGATGGTACATCGAATGACATGGGGGATGGGGAAATGATGGATTGCGATGGGGTGGAGACGGTGGGTAGACTGAACGCTGGGAGTACAGATGGTCTGAGTGGTGGGGGTCATGCCGCTGATACCTCCATGAATTGTGGGGGTATTGGCACCAATGGCCTCGTGGGTGAATGCGGGTACACCCCATGTGATGGCAACAGCTGGATGGTAGAGGCACTGGATGTGTGGCTGGATGGTGCTCATGCCACGCGTGGCACCCATGCTGGTCAATCCGGTCAACCAGGGCCACCCGGTCGAGCTTGTCATTCCGGTCAACTCGGTCAACTCGGTCAACTAGGTCAGCCTGGTCAACGTGGTGGTGACGAGCTGGAGCAGGTGGTGCTGGCAGCACAGGGCGGCACAGGCCACAGCGTTGTTGCTGCTACTGCTGCTGCTGCTGCTGGGCCAAGCAAAGCGAGCTGCAAGTGGGGAGGCCACAGAAAGTGCAGTGAGGTCAGTGACAATGATGGTGGGAAAGCACATGTACCGGAGCTATTGGCAGCAGCAGGAGCAGCAGGAGCAGCAGCAGGAGCAGGAGGAGGAGGAGGAGGAGGAGGAGGAGGAGGAGGAGGAGGAGGAGGAGGAGGAGGAGGAGGAGGAGGAGGAGGAGGAGGAGGAGGAGGAGGAGATGCAGCAGGTGGTGCAAGAGTGATAGAAGCAGCATGTGTGTTTTCAGGGCCCGTGGATGCCTTTCTTGACAGCCACTGGCAGCCGCTGCTTCAGAAGCAGCCTGCCCTGCTCCCACACACACTGCAGCCTCTGCAGGAGCAAGTTGTGCCTAATCTGCAAGGGCAGCAGCAGCAGCAGCAGCAGAAATGGGTCACTCTGGATGCAATGGGTCGGCAGCAGTCCCTGCCACCCCCGAAGCTCCACCAGCCCCTCTCAGGGCTAGTCCGCGGGCCCGGATCCCTGCCTGACATGCTCCATGACCCACCAGCCTCTCAGTTCCCCCCCTCATCGTCTACACAGCTTCCCATGCCAAACCCCCCTTCGCAGCTCACATTCAGCGGATACTCGGGTCATAGCGCTGGCGCTGCTGCTGCTGCTGCTGCTGCAGCTTCTGCAGGTGTCTGCCATGAGTGGATTGCAGCAGCAGAAGCGCGGAGGGGGTGTGGGACGGGGCATCCGGCACCTCTCCCTGCCTCCGCTTCCGGGGAGAGATGTGGGACTGTTTCAACGTTCTCACACTATTGGCAGTTGGGTTCACGGCCCCAGAGCAGACTTGCTGCTGCAGCAGCAGCAGAAACAACGGCAGGACCAGCACCGGGGACAGGTTCGTTTCCAGAAGCAGCAACAGCAGAAGCCGATGCTGACATGAATGTATCAACTTCTCCAATGAGTGGTTTGGTTCATCCCACCACGGGTTACGATATTACGCAGCATGCTGGAATGATGGAGTGGAGAGGTGAAAAGCTCCCAGCAGAATCCCGTGTAGGGATTGTGGATGCTCATACTCCATCGGTGTATTGGGATATAGAATCGCATTTACTGGCACAAACGCCACAACTTGCCCATGTCGGGTATGGTAAGTCCTCCGAGTTGCACTATAGGGATCCATGTGGCAATAGCACCTCTGCTGAATCGAGTTTCTTACCAAATTGATTTGAGTCTCGATGGCGAGTACTTGCATTTTTTGCATATAATATATATTTATATATATTATCCATACTATATATCAGGGTGGTGTTCTACCTTCGTATCGACGTGGAGTGGCTTGACGAGAACCTTGCTCATCGCGTTTTACGGCGCATTTCGTGCGGTCACCTGCCAGAAATAAAGGTTTCAAGCAATTCGCCGAATAATGAGAGGCCGTACACGGGCAGGATATGGAGCCACATCACATTGGAAAAACCCCCTATGCTACAATCTAGCAAGTATCTGTACTGTACAGATTTGTTTTTGCACACCACGCACCTGTTTTTGTTTTTCCTGGGGCTATGGCGGTGAAATACTCACTCCGTGATTCGGTCGAAGCGCATGCCGTATCGCATGTGCTTTCAGCAACCAAAAGGGAAGATCGTGCCCCTCCCTCATCCAACCAGCCCAACAAGAACAAAAGTGTGATGGGTCCTCCCACCTCCTTCCTCTCCTTCCTGACCTGACCTGACCCTACCTCCAACCAGCCTTGCGCCTCCCCATACTTCTTCCGTCGTGTGTGCAATAGTGCGCCCTTCCGCTTCTCGGCTTTCCACTGTCAACGCCGCAACTGAACTGATCTGCTAGTGCCATTTCCTCGGTGTTTTTCGTCACTGGAGCACCTCGCCCGAAGCCACTCCGTCACCATTTGGTCACACGTTTCGCTGCTACCACCGTCACTGCTGTAGATTGCACCAAGTACAGTAGCTCATGCTTCCTTGCAATCTCGCGCCGTCCTATCGCCTCCCCTTGTCACATCCCACCACGCTCGGATGCATCATGGTCCTACGCCGCACCGTGAGGTGCGTCTCGTCCGCCGCTGTCGCTGCCAGTGACAGTGGCGCCACAGAGCGCACCCGATTCTCCTGGTCCTCCTTACCCGCCGATAACAGTCCTCCAGTTATTTCGTACTAGCGGCGTAGTGGAGTGTGTGACTCTCAGGTCAGGTGCAAGCTACGAATACAGTCAAGCGTTTTTTGTTGTTTTCTGCGTGGTGTTTGATAGGCAACCCGTCGACATTCCACTGCAATGCCACGCTACGGCATAGTCCTAGTATCTCCATAACACAGCCACACAGCCCATCCGAGCCCATCGCCATACAAGGAAGGAATAGCGCTCGGCACTTCTCGGCTCTGTCCGGATCAAGTGGCGGCGCCATGTACATGAAAATGGGAGCCCCATGTTGCGCCCACGACGGTGTGCGATCCATTGGGAATGGATCGCGCACACAAGTGGAGTGGCACATAGCAAACCAAGGCGCAGATGCCACCATGAACCTCGACTAAGCACTCATATTCTTCTCATAAATCCCGAAGCTTCAGTAAGCTGCAGGGTGTGTATCATCCCAACACCCATCCGCAGAGCTCGTGACCTTCACGGAGGTTTTTTGTGCTCTTAGTTTCGCCGCTTGCTTCTGCCGCTTCTGACGCTTGTGCGTCCCTTGTCAGACTTGGCCCTTACGACGGCTAATCGCCCCCAAGCGTCCACTAAAGTCCTCTTGTTCAATTCCGCGCTGCTAGCAGATTAGGTTTGTCACTGACTTGTAGCGTGAACAAATTCGATTTCCTTTTCTGAGGCGGCCTTATGCTCAAGTCTCGGTCGAGAAACATCGTCTCAGCACAGTTTACGATCGATTAGCGGGGACGCCGGTTCGAGCAATGGCGGGTACGGCGAGCTGCTGCTGCTTCCATCGCTGCGGCCGTCGGTCAACAGTGCTGCCTCGCGCCCTGCAACAGCAGCACAGCCGGGAGCAGCAATACCTGAAGGCTCTACAGCTCGATGACAGGAGAGAGGGGCAAAGGCGAGTAGCAGAGCAGCATCAGCAGCAGCAGCAGCAGCACGGAATGCAGCTCGCAGAGCCTCGCGTTAGCTCCATCCTTCCTGATTCCGCTGCCAATAGCACCGAGTCTGCGGCGACTCCCAACTCCAAGAACCGCTTCGCATGCCACTGCTCCCGCTGCACGCACAAGTTCGGCGCCGAAGGCCGGCTGCTGTGCGAGTCAGCGTGGCGGGAGCACTGGCGGGCGCGAACGGCGGAAATCATGTGCAGGTGGGATGAGCGGAAGTGCTCCCGGCGGGTCGTTGTTCCTGCGGTTTCTGACCAAGATTCTGGCGTGGCAGGTGGGCGTAGGGAAGGTCACGAGGAGGAGGATACAGACAGCAGCCGCGAGCGCAGCTGCTGTGTGTCTGAAGCATCGAGCGGTGACGTGATCGGACAGGGTCTTTGTTGTGGAAATGCGGGCACCTGCAATGTTCTGAAGGACAAACCTTTGCTGATAAAAATGCTGTTGAATCAGCTGGTCGGTAGATTGGTACCAGTGGTGGAGGCTCTCAGGCAACAGGGAGTCCTGGTTGGGAAGAGGAAGCGGGAAGCGGATAATGATACAGGAGGAGTGGTGCTGGGGGGGGTGGAATCCCCCGCGCCATACAAGAGGGGAAAGAGTGAGCCGCAGGAATCTCCTGACGGGGGCGCTTGCATGGCATGAATGATGCCCATGTAAGTTCTTAATATGGGGAAGCTCCCCTGCGTTGAAGCGGTGGCTGGAGCGGTGCGTTCTCCTTATATCCAGCCGCATCAAGTTCGCTGACATTTATACTGCACATGCCAACATCAACGAGAAAGGCATTGTGTCAACAGCTAATTGGCTCTTCATTGGCCATAAATATACTTGGTTGGTTTCTCTCGCGCAAATACTGTTTGCGAGGTGCAAAGTTCACATCTGACATCTTTTCTGAATTGATCCCTTTTTTTTTTTTGGCGACTATCCACACTTGTGTGGTACGTTATGGTAGAATTAACAAATACTGTGTGGATGCTGTGGATGTCTAACTTCATTTTTGGAATGGACATGATTGTAGAGTGCGCCAACACTTGGACTCCACCCTCCCAAGCTTCCAGTACAAAAGGATCCACATATAGCCGGTACAAAGTGGTCGGGTTTGCAATGACACCTCGTCCAAGGGTCATCTCCCGCCACGTGGACCGCCACGTCGATCCCGATGTGAATGCATCTCGTGTCCAAATAGATGGGTCTGTTCATGCTCCCATCACCAATTCCCCACTCACTCAAACTCCAGTCAAAACTGCAAAATTGACCACTCCCTCCCATCCCTACTCCACCTCTTCCCACACACAGATCGCGCCGCGATTGCAGCTTTTCTGTTTCTTCGCTCTCCTTGATCCGAACTCTTCCCCAAGCCCGTGTAATATAGCTTTCAGAAAACCGGCAGGTCATAGGTCATTTGGTATTTAGACGTGTGTCGGCATCGTGCTGTAATTCCAATACGCAATTATGGCTTCCGCCCTGTCGCTAACTTCCGTCGTTGTTTCCAAGCAATTTCGGGTTTTGGACAGCAGCAGTTCCTCCTCTTCTAGCAGCCTATTACATAGTCAATTCGCCAGCAGCACGCGCAGCGCTGCCAGTGCGCGCGTGTGTGTGCGATGCAGCGCGACGGACGATGGTCGCAGCGCGGCCACGGTCGTTAATGGCGCGGTACGGAGAGTCTTTGCGCTGTGCCTTCGTCTCGCGTACAAGCCGTGACAATTGGGGCCGTTCATTTTATTCGTAATCGAATTCAACTCTAGATCTCCCAACGAATTCCCCCTCCCCTTCCCCCCCTCCCCACTCCCCCCCTCTCTTCCCCCGTTCCCGCCCCAACACCCCGCTCTGTCCTTCCCCCTCACAATTCTCCCCACGTCCCCCATCTGTACCGTTAAATCCCCCCCCCAGTCGCACTCGTCCGCCACCGCGGACCTCCCCTCGCGCTACCGCAGCGCCATGGAGCGATCGCGCGCAATCGCGATGCACAAGGCCGACGAGGCCGCCGCCGAGTCTTCGCGGGATGCGCCGGCGGCTGCGGCGGCGCCGGTGGTGCTGGAGCGGGTGAGGCTGGTGGCGGGCCAGGAGGAGTGCGGCGCGTGTGAGGCGGCGGGATCGGTGCCTTGCGCGACATGCGCGGCGTCCGGGTTGTATGTGGATCCTATTATGGAGTGCCAAGGCATCATCGTTAAAGTGCGCTGCCTCGGTACGTGCTCGGGGGAGGGGAGGAGAGGGGAGCGGATGGGAGGAGAGGGGAGGATAGGGGAGGTGAGGGGAGGGGAGGAGAGGGGAGGGGAGGGGTGGTGGGTAGAGGGGGAGAGCGGGTAAGGGGAATGAACGGGGGGCGTCCCAGGTGTTACGTCCATGTCGCCAATTGTGGTCTTTGGGTTGATGTTGATTCTATATGAAGGTGCATGCATGATGCACGGTGAATTTCGTGCGCTACGCTTCTTCTTTTCATATGTAAGTTAGGAATCTGCCACCACCCCTCCGCTCTTCCCCCTTTCCCTCTTCCTCTCCCCTCCTCCTCCCCCTCCCCCTCCCCCTCCCCACCCACCTCTCAACCCCTTTCCCTCGTCCCTCCACTGATTTCTGTTGTAATATCTTTTCCTCTTGCCATGCCTTACTATTTTTCCTTTCCCTCTCCCTACAAGTCTTTCTTCCGGTATCTTTTCACCTTTCCCTTTGTCCCCTGGGCCCACTTGCTTCTCTAATTCCCTTGCAAGACCATTTGTTTCATTTGTTTGTTGGTTTCGTGGCCACAATTTGCTTATACGGTACTGTTCCCACGATTTTGTTCATCTATGAATTTTGCCCCAGGTTGTGGTGGTTCGGGCACTATTCTTTGCCCGAAGTGTGGTGGACGCGGTCATAAGTAAGTGGTTTATTCTAATATGAAGCTATGTAGTTAACCACACGTTGAACTCTCTTGTTTGTAGAACCAGTTTAAATACGGTATGATCCTGTGCTTCCAATTTATATACTGAATGTGTATAGATCAAGTGGAATTGAGGTGTATCTGGAGGTGCGATTGAACTGATAACGACCACCCTTTCTCGAATCACACTGGGATATACCTGCCTTCCGCGTTGCGTCTGTTAGATGCAATGACCTGAACCAATCTCGAGGTCCAGATTCGAGTTTCCCACTCTGCGGCCGTCAACGCTCTGCACCGTACTATAACTCACTTCAACAAGTAAATCAACCGTATACAACCCTCGGATAACTCTCAGGATGTTCCACTCCCCGCCCTCCTCTGTTCATGCCCAAGCATTCCACGCACACAACACAACACGGGACTCGCGCTTCGCAGACCAGCGCATGCTGTCTGGTCAGACTGGTCCTAGTTCATATGGGGCAAACCCATTCTCGGCCATTCACAGTCGCTCAGCATCAATAAAAAAGTCATTACATCCATCGCCATAAAGTCGTTACCTTTCGCCGCGCTCAGTACTCTTTTACATGGCTGCGTCGCCGTCCAGAGGTTTGCCGGCCGACATTCTCCTCAACGGGCACCACGTGCAGGCATGGCTTCGCGTTCCCCCCGCCGAATCCGCCGCATCTCCCGCCGCAGGTGCCGGCGCGCCCGCCTCGGAGGAATCCGTCATCACCTGGACGCCGAAAACCGCTGCTGACGTGGCAGGAGCAACGGTCGGATCGCAGCTGGTCGCGGGATCCATCTCTTTAGATTCGGATCTGATCGGATTCAGCGCGACAGGCGCGTCGACGATCACTCTCCGGCTGTTTAAACTCCCTACGACGGATCCTACGGGTGCGGGCGTCGCGGCGCTCTCTATGTGCACGACGACGCGTGCGCACAGCCGGCGGCGCGAGAGGGAGGACGTACTGGTGGAGTTTAAGAATGCGGAGGAGCACGAGCGGTGGGGCGAGGAGCTGCAGCGGTGGAGGCGGACAAATGGTGAGTGGGGGGGGAGAGTGTGGGGTGCGTGGGTTTTGATGCGCCACAAAAGTCGGTGTTTTGATTCGCTACGAACAGAAGCACGAGCGGTGGAGCGAGGAACTGGAGCGGTGGAGGCGCACGAATGGGGGGTGGGGGGGAGTCTAGGGGGCGCGGGGAAGGGGAATGAGCCCAAGGAGCGACGATGAAGGCAAGAGAAGCTGTGGATATTATTCAGTTCAGTCTACCCTCGTCTCTCCTTCTCCCCTCTCTCCGCCGTCTCTCCCCGTCCCCCCTTCTCCCCTGTCTCCCTCATCTCCCCTTTCTCCCCCTCCTCCCCCCTGCGCACAGGCCGGCCGTCGGCGCTGCTAGTGGTGCTGAACCCGGTGGGCGGCAAGGGCATCGCGCGGGACATCTACAAGCGGGACGTGGAGCCGCTTCTCAAGGCCGCTGACGTCAAGTACGAGCTCATCGGTACGTACGCCCGGTGACGTCAGTAGCGGGAATGGTGGCGTCAGCCGTGAGAATGGTGATATCAGCGTCTCGTCTCGTCTCGACTCGTCTCATCTTGAACTGCTTGGTTGGGCGTGTTCGTCTCGGCCCCTGCTCGCCCCTCCCTCTTCTCCGCCCCACCTCACTCACCTCTCGTCGCACCTAATCCACGTGGCTCCGCTCCGCTCTGCTCCGCTCCGATCCGCTCTCCTCCGCCGTCCCATCGGTGGGGACGCAGCTTGTCCTAGCTCTTTGTCGACTCACCAGCGGCCGTGTTCCTTCTGAGGCGCCTCAAAAGTTGGTGGGGACGCAGCTTGTCCTAACTCTTTGTGTCAAGTCGACTCACCAGCGGTCGTGTTCCTTCCCGTTCTGTGGCATGGCAGAGACGCAGCGGTACCGGCACGCGTTTGACATCAGCAGGGACATGCGCGTGGGGCAGTACGATGGGGTGGTGTGCATTGGCGGCGATGGCATTCCCGCCGAGGTGAGGTGGGGGGAGAGGGGGGAGGGGGTTGTGCGATGTGACGCGATAAAAGAAGTGTTTTTTTCGCGTTTGACATCAGCAGGGACATGCGCGTGGGGCAGTGCGACGGGGTGGTGTGCATTGGTGGCGATGGCATTCCCGCCGAGGTGAGCAGGCGTGGTTGGGGAGGAGGGTTGCTGTGTGACGTGCAAACATGGTGTGGTTTGATTTGAGTCGACTACTCAAAACACTCGTGAGATCGTGTGAAAGTGGGGGGGAGGGGGAAGAGGGGTGGGTGGGTGGGTGCATTGGCGGCTATGGATTTCCTGCAGAGGTGAGCGAGGGGGGAGAGAGGCAGGGGATTGTGCGATGGGATTTGGAAGGTGGAGGAAGGGGAAACGAGAGGGGAGTGGGAGAGGGGAGTGGGAGAGGAATGGATGAGAGCTGTGGAAGGGGTGGATTGGCGTGGAGTGGGATGGTGTGGATCAGGACAGATGAAGCGCACCCCATCCAAGGAGAGATTGGATGTCTAGCAGTGTGGTGTGAAATGATATGGTGCGAACCCTGCTTTTCTCGACTTTCTACTGCTGCTTCCCTTGTTGACTGAATCTCGGACTGAAGCTGACATTTGTTGCTTCTCCCATCCCATCCCATTCAATCCCATCCCATCCCATCCCATCCCATCCCATTCAATCCCATCCCATCCCATCCCATCCCATCCCATCCCATCCCATCCCATCCCATCCCATCCCATCCCACGCATGTCTGGGTTGCACGGTGCAGGTACTGAACGGGCTGCTGGCGCGGCCTGACTGGAGAGAAGCCATCAGAACCCCACTGGGGGTCATTCCAGCAGGTGACCTTGTGCTGCTGCAAACCGATCCGCTGTCGCCTTTTTGTGCTCGTTTCCTCTGAGCGTTTCGCACGTCACCTATGGATGCCTGCTCGCTCATCAGCGCTCTGTGCCACGCCCTGTGCTTCAGCTTCCGTCCCGCGAACCTCCATGATCCCGTGATCCACCTGTTTCTACACTGATTCGTTCCGCATGGCCACGTCTGCGACACCTTGAGCGGTCTATTTCAGCTTTACAAGCATATGAATGACAGCGTTGCAACATCGCAAGCAAAGTCAGCCTTCTCATTTCCCCTTTCCACAGCTCTTCTCTCTCCTCTCCTGCCCCCATTCTGTTGCCCCCACCCGCCTGCTTTCTCTCCTCTTCTCTCCTGCCCATTCCCCACCACCATGCCATCAGGATCGGGCAATGGAATGGCCAAGTCGCTGCTACACGCGTCAGGGGAGGAGTGCACGCCACAGAACGCCACGCGAGCTGTTATCCTCGGTAAGAGCTGACCCTCTTTAGCATGAAACAGTACAGCTCGTCACTGCAACAAAATTTCCCGTTGCCCGAATGCAGTGCTTCCTTGGTGCTTCAAGTGACCCCCCTCTTTGTTCCCCTCTTCTTTTTCCTGCTCCCTCTCACTTGTCCCGTTTCTCCTCTGCTTTCTTGGTACTTGTCCCGTTTCGGCCCTCTCTTTTCGTCATGACCCTGCTTTCACACCTCAATCTCTCTCTCTCTCTGTAACCTCCCTGTCACTATGGCATGCCTTACCACACCACACCACACCACACCGCACCACATCACATCTCATCACAATGCGTGGCACCACCATGGGATGATGGGCATGGTGCATGCAGGGCGCAGCACAGCAGTGGACGTGGGCACGGTGTCACAGCCCCACGCACTCTTCCACTTCATTCTCAACGTCAACTGGGGTCAGTCGCTCTCTCACTCTCTGTCGGTCCATCAATCAGTTGGCTAGTCGGTCTGTCAGTCAGTCAGTCAGTCAGTCACGTGGTCGTATCGCCACTCAGCTGGTGAGACAGCAATGCTCCCCGCATTGCATCACTCTTCTTGCTGTGACACCCATCATACACCAAACAAGAAAGGCGACTACTCTTGCAGATGCCTGCAGCTTGTGCACGTCTCGTTGTGCGTGTGATGGGCCAGCAGCATGCTTTGACATCCTTGCATTTACCCATCCAATACCACGCAAGGAAGTTGCCGGCTTATTGGCATCATCTAACTCCCCTCCTCCCCCGCTTTCCAATCTCTTCTTTGTGTGTCTGCTTGTGCATGTGTATTGATAAACGCGCATGCATGCACTTACACACGCATGCATGTGTGCATATGTGCGTGTATCTTTGTGTGCATGTGGGCATGTGTGCATGTGGGCATGTGTGCATGTGGGACATGCGCATGTGTGCACAACAGCGTTTGTCAGCGATGTGGACATTGAGTCGGAGGTCTATCGTTGGATGGGAGGTTTCCGCCTCACCTTTTATGTGAGCACATGCACCCACAGCCCACCCATCTCTGCCCTCATTTGAATTCACTCTACCTCACTCTGCCTCACTCTACCTCACTCTGCCTCACTCTACCTCACTCTGCCTCACTCTGCCTCACTCTACCTCACTCTGCCTCACTCTACCTCACTCTGCCTCACTCTACCTCACTCTGCCTCACTCTACCTCACTCTGCCTCACTCTACCTCACTCTGCCTCACTCTGCCTCACTCTACCTCACTCTGCCTCACTCTACCTCACTCTGCCTCACTCTACCTCACTCTGCCTCACTCTACCTCACTCTGCCTCACTCTACCTCACTCTGCCTCACTCTACCTCACTCTGCCTCACTCTACCTCACTCTGCCTCACTCTACCTCACTCTGCCTCACTCTACCTCACTCTGCCTCACTCTGCCTCACTCTACCTCACTCTGCCTCACTCTACCTCACTCTGCCTCACTCTACCTCACTCTGCCTCACTCTACCTCACTCTGCCTCACTCTACCTCACTCTGCCTCACTCTGCCTCACTCTACCTCACTCTGCCTCACTCTACCTCACTCTACCTCACTCTGCCTCACTCTACCTCACTCTGCCTCACTCTGCCTCACTCTACCTCACTCTGCCTCACTCTACCTCACTCTACCTCACTCTGCCTCACTCTACCTCACTCTACCTCACTCTGCCTCACTCTACCTCACTCTGCCTCACTCTACCTCACTCTACCTCACTCTGCCTCACTCTACCTCACTCTACCTCACTCTGCCTCACTCTACCTCACTCTGCCTCACTCTACCTCACTCTACCTCACTCTGCCTCACTGTGCATGCATGCGTTGCTTTGAAACGTTCACGACTACCACATAAGTGGTACCTCTCACATGCTCCATCAACATTTCTTGCCCACCGCTTCTCATCCCCATCCCTTCGGACTTCTCTCATCCCCCCTCTCATCCCCCCTCTTACCGCGACCATACCCTCTCCCTCCGTGACCCCCATATTTTGTAGGTCACCACTCCACACACACACCTACAACCTTAATCCCGCCCCTCCTCCCCAAGTCGCTTACCTTCCTTGTCTCTCCATCCCCATCTTCTCGTGCTCTCTCTCATTCGAGTCCATTCAAGTCCATCCCATCTCGCCCACCACCCACCCCACCCACCCCACCCTCCCACCCTCCTACCCTCCCACCATCCCCCCCCCACCCAGTCAATAATCCGCATCATCAACCTGAGGCGCTACCACGCGCGCCTCTCCTACCTACCTGCCGCGGCCTCCTCCGCCCCCGCAGCCCCGGGCGCTCTACAGCCGGAGGAGCGGGAGGGCGGCGTGTATGCTGGCGTGCCCGCTACAGCCGTGGGGGACCCGGATGCGTGGGTGACGGTGGAAGGGGAGTTTGTGCTGCTGTGGTGCCAGAGCACTGCGTGGGCTGCTGAGGCCATGCACATTGCGCCGCAGGCAGAGGTGGGGCGGTGGGGGAGGGAGAGCTGGGGATGAGAAGGGTGCGGATGGGTGTCGGAGGGGAGATGGGGGGAGGAGTGGAAGGTTAGGGACAGGGATTGGGGATGAGGGATTGGGAAAGTATGAGGTGGGTGACTGACTGGGATGGGACAGCCTGACATGAAGGTAGAGCGAGACGTATGACACACAACTGCGGCAGCTGTTCTAACCTGACTTTTCAACCTCGCCCTCGCGTTCTTCTCGTACACGTCTCTCTCCTCTCCATAACCTGCTCTCTCTCCCTCTTCCCCGCCTCCCCCCTCCTCCTCCTCCTCCTCCTCCTCCTCCTCCTCCTCCTCCTCCTCCTCCTCCTCCTCCTCCTCCTCCTCCCCCTCCTCCTCCTCCACCCCCTCTTCCCCCGCCTCCCCCTCCTCCCCCTCCTGCCCCTCATCCCCATCCCATCACCCTATGCAGCTATCAGACGGGTGTTTGGACATGATAGTGGTGCGCGAGTGCACGTCCATGCAGCTGCTGGAGCTCATGATGCTCATGGATGAGAACAACGGCAAGCACCTCGCCAGCCCGCTGCTGCAATACATCAAGGTACCCGTACCCGCCCCACTGGCCCGCTCTGCTTCACTGACTTTTGAGGCGCCTCAAAAGTCGTCTCATTACCCACAAGTTTTTCAGGCGCCTCAAAAGCCAGCCCGCTGCTGCAATACATCAAGGTACCCGTACCCGCCGCCCGCCCCACTGGCCCGCTCTGCTTCACTGAATGCTCTCAAAGTGGTGCTGCTGTACAGTCCGGCTTCTGTTTTTTAGTCGACTCAAAAACCGGTTAAATTTCTGCTGCTGTACGGTCACCAGCTTCTGCAATTCCTAGGGACGTGCGTGCGGGGTTGTTGAACACTCTGACGTGCCATCGCTTGGTTCTGTCCTGGTGCACATTGCGCTAGTGCTTGCCCGCACTTGCCTCTCTCACATTCCGCTTGCCCGCACTTGCCTCTCTCATCCCCGTCAGCAAAGTCATACCTGGTGACCCACCTTCCCCTCCTGCTCTTTTGAACCGAAACCTGAAACCGTGCAGGTGCGAGCATTGAAACTGGAGGCCGGGGGGAGAGTGCGTCAAGAGCCGGGGCGGGGAGGGATAGTGGCGGTGGATGGTGAAGTGGTTGCCAGGGGGGTGGGCGCGTTTGGGTTCGAGTCAGGAAAGGACCCCATGGATTACGGAGTGCCTTTTCATGTCACAATGAACCCAGGGTTAGCTCGACTCTTCACGCTGCCTTCTCTGTCCTCCCATACGACCTCTCACACATGAACGGTTTCTGATCATGATGCACGCACGTTTCCTGGTTCTAGTTGGGTGTGGAGAAATTTAAGGTGGTTTCCCTGCTGTGTGCAGTGTATGCATTTTCTTGTAAATGCTTTTTTTTTTCAAGCTGGATCTGACAATTTGTAGTACCAGCCTGTTTGGCGTATAGGGTTAACTTCTAGTCAGTGCGAGTGCATGTGTCAAGGGGGGCTGAAGGGTTGTGTTCTTGGCGAGCTTTCACAAGTGTTCGTCTGCAACGATTGGCTAATAGAGGACAAGCTTCTGAATCCTACTTTATTCGCTACCCCACCATGCCGGGAGAGAATTGCTCCAGAGCTTTTTTTTGTGATTCGGTCTTGCCCACGTGGCCCCGAATTGCTCGCGTGGCCATCCAATTCAGTGATAATTGCTAGAGTGGCCACGCCAGGGGATTTTCGAGGTGTTTTATTCCCCGGCACATTACCCTACAAGGGTTTGTAACCCCCTAATTCCTCGTTCGCACAAGTCTCATCCCGCGGTAGTGTTTCGTTCTATTCCCCACCCAAAAATTTCGGGTGGGTGGCGGGCGCGAACGTGGCTCACATTTCTGATGATACAGGCGTACCAAACCAGATTGAGCGTTTTAATTTGAACCTAATTGGCCAGAGTTTATGTTTGTGCGAGTGTTTTTACCATATGATTGGCGAGATCATATAGTAAATTGAGTTTCATTTCCGCGGTCAAATATGGTTGCAATCCTTAATGATGGCACCTGATTGGACGCGCCATGCCAACAATTGCACCGCGCATATTATCTAGGAATCATGCGCGGTCGTTAGGGCTGCTGCGTTTTGATGCTGGTCATTTGAGGTTTATGATCGCGGATTTATATGCTCAAGCGCTTATTGGTTACGATTTTGTTTGACCGAGCGATCATTGGTCGCACATTTGGCCGAAAATGACCGCGCATCTACTGTTGGTCGTGCATATTTGTCGGTTCTGTGTACAGTGTGTGGGCCACGTTCGTGCCGCCACCCACCCAAAATTTTCGGGTGGGGAATAGTACGAAACACTACTGCGGGAAGAGACTCGTGCGAACGAGGAATTTCGAGGGTACAAACCCTTGTAGGGTAATGTTCCGGGGAAAAAAACACCTCGAAAATCCCCTGGCGTGGCCACTCGAGCAATTATCAATGAATTGGATGGCCACGCGAGCAATTCAAGGCCACATAGGCAAGACCGAATCACGAAAAAAGGCTTTAGAGCAATTCTCTCCCATGCCCGTGGCAGAACTTTACAGAATTGATCTGATTGGAGGAAAATTGTGTCCAAAACGTTTCCGACTTCATAGCTACACGAGTCTTATGGTAACCACTGAGAATTGAGCACTCAAATGTTCTCTACTACCATCTTGTCCATTCATCGTCGTCCCGGATATTCTCGATTATTCAATTCCTGCCCGTCATTTCTTCCAGCTCTGCCCTACCTCCCGCGCCCCTTCATGCTGGTGCAACAAGTGCATATCCACTTGCAGTCAGTTCACCTCCCCTTCCCAACCCAACACTGTTTCCGTTCTGTCTACAATTCTGCATGGTCATGGCGACTGAAACATGAGCTGCAAGCATTAGGTCAGGACTCCGAATTTGCTGACTCAGGGGTCGTCGAATTCCTAATTCAGTGACGGAGGAGATAGGGAAGTGCGCGGTGGTTTGGAGTTCCGAATCGAGGGGCGTTCTGCGGGGCGATGAGCTTCGCCAATCCGTGGGTTTCCGCCTCCACGCAAGTCGCATTCAGTCGGGAGGAGGACGAGTTAAAGCGTCAGCGGCTTAACGCGGAGCTTCAGCGATTGCAGCGGCTACCGCCGACGTCCATCTACGCGTCGCATCGCATCAGAGTGGCGCGCCGCGCGCTTGAGCTGCTTGCCGCTTCGTCCGCGCAGGTCCGCTGCTCCAGAGCATACTTGAACTGCTTCGCTTCGCAACTCCAATTTACACGTAGACTGAAAAAGTATACGGGTATGGAAGCAAAAATGCGCCTTTGTCGTTTAATCTTAATGTTCTGGTGTCTAATTCGCTAATCCGGTGTGGTGCCTCTGTTCTCCGTCAACCACTGCGTGATTTCAGCAGCGTTCTACGGACCAGGAGAGGGAGCTCGAAGCGCTCTTCGCCTCGCTCTCCCTCTAGCAGCCGTCGCTCTTCCCATCCTCCTCCATCCTCCTCCATCCTCCTCCATCCTCCTCCATCCGCCTCCATCCACCTCCATCCTCCCCCATCCTCCTCCGTCCTCCTCCGCCCTCTTCCTTCCTCGTCCTCGTCCTCGTCCTTCCACCTGCTCCTCCGTCCGCTCCACATTTGATTGACACGCCGCCGCGCATGGCAGCCGCCATCGGGGTTCGGGGAAGGCAGGGCGGAATGGACGGAGGCGATTTCTTTTTCTCCTCGCGGCCATGGCTCAGTACGCCCCTTGTTGTTCTTTTTGTTTCGTCGTAGTCGTCGTCGTCGTCTTCTTCCTTCTGGATACCCAGTTGAAAGCCGTTTTTATGTTCTTCGAACTGTGTCGTTCTCGAAATAAATCACGAGGATGATTGCTTTTTGTTTCTCTTTCCTTGGTCTCTTCCCATGCCGTTGCCGTGGCTTGCTTTAAATTCTTCAGATTCTCCTTCGTTTCCTCCTCGCCTCTCCGTCTTTCCGTCTTTCCGTTCGCACCTGTTTCGTCCTCCGCGGTGTGCCCTGCGGCAGGTCTCTACGGCACGCATGTGCGCGCGGTACCGCCGGTCGGCAGCGTGAGTCATGGCGGCGGCGGTCGCGAGAAGGAGACGGCTTTAATCCACCGCGCGCTTCCGGAAGAGCTGCTGGTGGAGGTGAGCTATGCAATTATCGTCAGCTACAGTGGTGAGGGAAGGGAAGGGAAGTGAGGCGTGGCTTGATGGTGGAGGGAAGGGAGCGTGGGGCAAGTCTTGTATAGTTGTAATCACGCCAACGCGTGTTCTCCCGTTTCCTCTTTCCCCATTCCCGCTTCGCCGGCTCTCCCCCTCCCCTCTCCCCCGCCCCCTCCCGCTCGTGTCCGCTTCCTCGCCCCTCCCTCACCCCTACACCCCCCCCCCACCCCCCCTCTTCCCCCCCTCCCCCCTTTCCATGCGCCCCATTCCCCAGGTGTTTGCGCGCCTGCCAGCGCAGCATCTGGGGCGCGTGGCGTGCGTGTGCCGCCGCTGGCGCTACTCCATACGCGCCCCCGCGCTCTGGAAGGAGGCTTGCTTCCGCGCCTGGCAGGTGAGGGGTCAGGCGGAGGGGGTAAGGGGAGGGGGGAAGGGGAAGGGGGGGGAGGGGTAATGGGAAGGGAATTAGGGGGATTCGGAGGGGGCATGGGGGATGGGGAGGGGGCATGAGGGGGGGGGGGGGGGGGGGGGAGGATGGGGAGAGTGGCACCTGGGGTGGGATTTCCTGAGGGGTGTGCGTATGTGAAATGGAAACCGGAGTGTGTGGTTGGGGGAGATATAGTAGAGGCTGTCTCGCTAAGAAATGACTTGGAACACGGCCGCACGGGCGAAAACCCTTTGTATGTGGTGAAGCCTGTGCGCCCGTGTGTGCCTCTTGTGCCTCTTGACTCCGCCTCTGTTTTTCTCCTTTGAAGTCCTTCCCTCGTCTCTCCCCCCTTCTTCACAGCTTTCCGTTTCGGTGGAATTTGCTTTTCGTTTTTTAGATAAACAAGTGATGTCCTTCGCAAGCTTTTGTAAATCTACTCTCATCTTCAACCCCCCATGCCTCGACCCCCTCCGTCCCTCCTTCCGTCCATACCTCCCCATCGTTTCTGCTGCTGCTGCTGCTGCTGCTGCTGCTGCTGCTGCTGCTGCTGCTGTGATGCTGTACGCGTGACAGGACGAGGGCGAGGACGCCCTGAGGTTCTTACAGCGGCGCTTCTTCTCCTCCTCATGGCGCACCATGTGGCTGCACCGTCCCCGAATCAGATTCCAAGGTGACAGCCTCCTTCCTCCCACCTTTTTACCCTCAGTTTGCCCCCCGGCTTCGCCTTCCCCTGCTCCCCCCGCTTCTCCCTTCCCGCACCCGCCTTTCGCTCCCGATTGTGCTTGTCTGCACCACTGCCGTTCATCTTGTCACCCCATTCCCCACCCCGTTCGAATGAAATTCCTTCCCCCCTCCCTCATATCTCCTTTCCCCCTTTCCCCATTCCAATTGCACATTCGCATTTGACAAAACACGTTGAATGCGCTACATTTGTCCACCTAACAGTTTTTTGTGTTACCCCTCCGTCTCCGCACTTCTCATTCTCATTCTTTCTCTTCCCCCACCCGCCCCGCACGCACCTCAACCCCGCCTGCGTGTGTGCTGTGTGTGCGCGTGCGTGCGCGTATGTGTCCGTGCATCTGTGCATGTGTGAGTGTGTGATGTGAGTGTGATGTGAGTGTGTGTGTGCGGGGCTGTGAGTGCAGGGGTGTACGTGAGTCGCAACACGTACCTGCGGTGTGGGGTGGTGGAGTGGCACAACAAGAGGCCCGTCCACATGGTGAGGGGGGTTGCAGGGGGGAGGTTGGGGGGAGGAGCTTGAGGCTGGGGGGAGCAGGGGTGTAGGCAGCTTGGGAGGGGCAGGGGGGAGGGGAGCTTGGGCTGGGGGATTAAAGGGGGAGGGGGTTGGGGGGAGGGGGGGTAAGAGGGTGGGGGAAGTAATATGGGGGAAATTTCTCGGTTAAGGGGAAACCTGAAGGTTACGTGGTTGGGGATGGTAAGGGGAGGAGAGGAGGGAGTAAGATGAGAAGGTTGCAAGCACAAGAGGGAGAACACTAATGTTCTTTCTTTCTGATCCCCTCTGGTCCCTCAACCCCCGATTCTCTTCCCTTTCCCGGTCACTTCCTTCTTAATTATCAAATCTGATTCTCCTCAGTTTCCTCTTTCTGCTCGCCACGCCACAATACCAACCCCTTCTTTCTCCACCTTTTTCACCTAGATCTACGCTCTCCAACGTTGTCCCCAACGTGTTTCAAAAATAACCTTGCTTCTCTATGTCTTTGCTAC